TGGATCTGGATAAGAACACATCATGTGAAGACACGGAGGATGAGACACCCTTTTCGGAAATTAGCGAGACCGACTCGCAATATTTGAAAAGGCGTACACTCCAAAAGCGTCTCCGAAACTCAGTTCCCGGATCGGGACAAAACTCACCTAATAAAAAAAAAAAGAAAAATAAATCAAATAAGCAACCAGAACAAGATAAATCTCCACCGAGAACTAGGAGCAAATCTAATGCCACTCAATCAGAGCCAACTGCACCAAAAACATCAGAAAGCAAAAATTCAATTCAAGAAAACAACCTATCTCACAAGACTCCGCAGCTTCAAGATTTTTCTGATCCTGAGCCGCCGCCAATATTTGTTTCAAAAATTAAGAACTTTATGTCGTTTGGTCAACAAATTGCAGATTTGATCGGACAGCCAAATTTTCGATGTTACTCGAGAGTGAACGACATCAAAATTAATACTAATTCAAGAGACAATTATAAAAAACTAATCAATTTCTTAACAACCAATAACTACGACTTCCACTGTTACCAATTAAAACAAGAAAAGGCGTATCGAGTGGTCCTGAGAGGACTACATTCAACCACACCCATATCTGCTATCAAATCGGGCCTCGAAGAAATCGGTCATAATGTCAGGCACATAGCACCTGTACTACATCCTAGAGAAAGATATCCGCTACCATTATTTTTTATAGACCTGGAACCAGCAAAAACCAATGTTGAAATATTCCAGGTTCAACGATTGGTTTACTCAATTGTCCGTTTTGAGGAACCGAAACAGAAGCCTCTAATTGTACAATGCACTAAGTGTCAAAACTTGGGCCATACAAAGGCCTATTGTTATCACGAAGTCAGGTGCGTTAAATGTGCCGGCCTACACGCTTCAGACACTTGCCAGAAGCCAAGAGATGAGCCTGCGATGTGTGCCCTTTGTGGCGAAGCCCATCCTGCGAGCTACAGAGGATGTGAAGTATATAAAAATCTTTACAAACAAAGATCACGAAACTCAGCGGTGAAAAATCTTGGATCTGCTCAGAAAACTTACACTGAACCACCTGAAATTGAAAATCAGGATATTTTCCCAGCATTGCCGACTTCACCTTCCCTCGTCATCCAACAACAACCATCCATCTCTACAGCTAAGGACTCACCACACCAGAATCTCAGAAATTCTCACTCCCAGTCTTCCACCAGTAAGAAGCAACCTCAACGTCAGGCGCCTCAGGCCTTCCAATCCAAGCCCAAAATCCCTAATACTCAGCCTCAACCTCCTCGCCAGCAAATCCCTCCTCATCATTTACCCTTAAGAGTCAAACTCCCGCCAGAGCATCCACATCCAGCTCCATTCGTTCCTAATCCCAGGATGAACCCCCCTCCACAAGTCCAACAGAATTTAGATCCTCCTCCTCCTCGTACCCCACGACGGGCCCATCCCCCACCCAACATTCCTAGTCGCATAACCTACCCATCACAACCTCCTGATCCAAACCCACTTCCCAGCCAAACACCATTCGACATCAACACTATCTTATCATCATTCCTGATAGATCTTCAACAGACTATCAAACCGCTCATAACCCTTCTAACCAGACTCCTTTCTGAAATCCCGCTTAGCTTCCCTCGATGAACTCAAAGTCCCTAGCTATTCTCTTATGGAACGCTAATGGACTGCAAAACCACCGTGACGAACTAGACATATTTCTCCATGACAATTATATTGACATTGCCCTCCTAACAGAAACTCACTTCACCCAACGGACACATTTCTACATACGTGACTACATCACCTATAGATCTGACCACCCAGACAACACTGCCCACGCCGGTTCTTGCATCCTTATCCACAAATCTTTACCCCATTCCCTTATTCCTTCTATTCCAACAGATGCCATTCAGTCAACTTCTGTAATCCTCTCAACTCGTCCTTTCCATCTAACACTTTCAGCTGTATACTGTCCTCCTGGCAATTCCCTCTCGTACAGCCTACTTGAATCCTTTTTACAATCCCTCGGATCGCGCTTTATTGCTGGAGGAGACTACAATGCTAAACACCAACGATGGGGTTGTCGATCATCCAACTCCCGTGGTAATACCCTTTCACAAGTTTCTTCTTCCAACAATTATTCCATCCTCTCGCCCATGAATCCTACTTATTTTCCAACATCCCTCAAAAAACGTCCCGATATCCTGGACATATTTATCACCTCCCAGATTTCCTCCTCCCAAACTATAATCAAATCCCTGGATGACCTTTCTTCAGACCATAGTCCAGTTCTGCTTTCACTACATTCTGACTTTGCTCCTAAACCATCACTTCCTAAACTGATCACTGGACGAGTAAACTGGGACAAATTTCGTGATGATTTGGAAAACAAACTAGACCTCAAAATCCCGCTAAAAACAAAAGAAGACATTAACGGTGCCATAGAAAAACTGACATCATCAATAACAGACAGTATAAATAATAACACCTTTATCAATAAGATTAACTTCCCACAAAATACTAACTTGCCACAGCATATTCGCATCTTATTACAGGAAAAACGCAGAGCAAGATCGAAGTGGCATAGGACTAGATACCCAACAGATAAATCGCATTACACACAACTGACTAACAAACTGAAATCAGAAATTAGAAAATACAAAATTCAAAATTTACTAAATTTTACTGAAAAACTTACAACCACTGACAAATCATTATGGATGACCACCAAAAAACTTCTTAAGTTTCAAGACTTTAATCACCCACTACTTACTGATTCCCAAACCTGGTCCAAATCCGACGAAGAAAAAGCCCAACTATTTGGACAACATCTTTTCCAAACTTTTAATCCACATCCCGATATCCTTAATTCAACTCACATCAATTGTATTGAAGCAGAACTGGATATTCCTCTCCAAATGTCTCTGCCACCCAAAGCATTTCATCCCATAGAAATATCCAACATCATTCAAAAATTACCTTCCCGTAAAGCTCCTGGACATGACCTAATTACATCCCAGATCCTAAAACTTCTTCCTCGAAAAGCCATCCTATTCCTTACTTATATATATAATGCTGTACTCCGTTCTACATATTTTCCTGATCTTTGGAAACGATCTATGGTTAAAATGATCCACAAACCCAAAAAACCACCAGAATACCCATCCTCTTACCGTCCTATCTCTCTTTTACCCATCATGGGCAAAATCCTAGAAAAACTCATCTTAAAACGCCTGTACCCTATCCTAAATTCTAAACACATAATCCCAGATCACCAATTTGGTTTCCGAACTTCCCATTCCACTATACAGCAATGTCATCGTGTGGTAGACGTAGTCTCCTCTGCATTGGAGCGCGGAATGTACTGTACGGGAGTCTTTCTCGACGTTGAACAGGCGTTTGATAGAGTTTGGCACCCGGGACTGCTGTACAAACTCCGAAAATTCCTACCACCTACATACTTCCTCATTATCCGTTCCTACCTTACTGATAGATACTTTAAAGTAAATCACAATAACGCCTATTCATCCCTTTTTTCCCAGTCTGCTGGTGTTCCTCAAGGTAGTATCCTAGGTCCTATCCTCTATACAGTTTATACAGCTGACATCCCTACCTGTCCCAACACTGTCATCACCACATATGCCGATGACACATGTATCCTATCAGTAAACAATGACCCAGCAATTGCATCCCAAATGCTTCAATCACACATCATAAATCTAGAAGAATGGTGTCAAAACTGGAGAATTAAAATAAACTCCAATAAATCCCACCAAATTACCTTTACCCTTCGTCGTAAACCAACGACTTCCTGTCCTACAGTTTCCTTTAACAATACTCCACTTATCCCTGTTGAGCAAATCCGATACCTAGGACTCCACCTGGACAAACGACTAACTTGGAATCCTCATACTAGACTGAAACGACAAGAAACCGCTCGACGTTTCCGATTACTTCAGCACTTACTAGACAAACGCTCTAAACTTCCCATTAATTACAAAAGACTTATATACTTGACTATAATAAGACCTATTTGGACTTACGGAGTTGAGCTATGGGGCTCCACTAAACCATCGAATTCCTCTCGCATCCAATCCTTACAATCCAAAATCCTTCGTAAAATCCTCAATGCTCCTTACTTTGTCACTAATAAAATTATCCATAAAGATCTTAATGTTCCTTATGTTTCAGATCTGGCCCAATCCAGATACCTATCCTTCCATAATAAACTTCAGAATCATCCCAACCCTCTCGTTTCTAACCTTGCTTCCTCTTCAATTCCTGATAACCCTCCGAGGCGTCTGAAAAGAAGATGGCCCCGTGATCTCATAATATAGTCATATCATTAGAGTGCTACCATTGGGTAGTTACTCAGCAAGTGTATTCATGTCATTATATCAATTATGTCCAAATTTACTTGATGTATTTATGTAATACAGTTGTAAATGTCATAAAGAAATAAAAAAAAAAAAAAAAAAAAAATTTTGATACAACACGCATAATTTTTCCAAAACGACATAAAACATTAAATAAAATTTTAATTATATCGTGTAAATCAACAATTGAATAGATACTTATTTTCGGAACAGTGAACAACTAATATTAATTTAACATAAGTAATTAAATTGCTTAAAGAATCGAATTGTAATTAATAAATATCAATTATGTTTAATAAATAATAAAAATATATGAATATTTTAAAATTCATGGACACTGGGTAAAGGATAGTAAGCAGACTCCTTTTATCTTAAAGATCGGTGCATAAAAAATATACATGAATAATTAATCACCTTCCAGCTTAAATAATGGGAAACAATTTTATTTTGTGAATACTTAAAACAAAATAGTTTAAATCATTTATAACAAACCAATTCAGATAAATAAAAAAAGTTGTCCCATTATTCTATCCGGTTTTTTTTTTTTTTTTTTTTTTTTTTTTTTTTCTTACCCTCCAAAATGTTTAAATTCTATCCGGTATAATTCTTATTTAATTATAAAAAAAATGAAGCTTACCGATTTTATGGGTGTCACTATCTACACTTCCGTCCTCCTAAAAAAAAACACAATAAAAAATGGAATTATTTACAAGCATATATTTATTCATTTACATCAAAATTTTAAAAGGCACATAAAATATTAGATCATTATAAATGTACTAATGTATTTGTAGCATAACAGATATTTTCATAGATAGGATAGTGAAATTACAAATTATAGACGCAGTAACATAATAATTCAAACAATTAATTATGCTACAAATTAATTAAATTTATGCGTTTTCGTCACTCCTTCTATTAGTTTAGTTTATTTTTGTTTAAATACATTTACTACTTGTACAATAATTTTGCTGTTTAATTTATTTTAGAGTGTGAATGAGCTACTCTAACTCTATTACTGGTTCCTTGAATGTGACAGAACAACTATATATTTTACTTAATTTATTAAATTATAAGGTACCGTGATTTTTATTTTATTCTGACTTGAGTGCCAGATCAGAGATAACGTATGCCGATATATTTATTTATACTTTATTATAGGTATTTTTATTTGTCGGTCATAAGTATATATATAATATTTAAATGGTCCCAACCTTCATAATTAAACATTATTATCCGAGCTACCATTTTGAAAACCGCAAATATATACTTATATAGTATTATCAGATAGATTTAATTAAAATTCAGATTTAATTAATTAATTTAATGAGAAAACGCATAAATTCTGAGAATTTTCGTAGAGTTTAAGTAGGAAGTCTCTCTATCTATATGCAACTTAACTCCTTCAACTTAAATTTTACAGATGATTAAGACTACTGAAGCTCTTAATCACCGAAACCCTAAGCATCAGAAAGAAGAATTTTCAACTATGGGGAAATGTCAGACCTTTTTTCATTTTATTTGGTTTTTATTTATTAAGTTTTTATTTGCACGTATTAACTTCTGTCTTTAAATAGAAAATTACTCGAAATAGCGTCATACAATGGATCGGACTTCAATTTCCTGAAATTTCAGATTGGAAGCCTCAGAACAGATCGCTGGACTTGATCCATCGGTAATTTATTAGAAATAACTGTTTCATTGGGTCCCTTAGTATTCTGCTATAAAAAAAAAAGGTGAAGTAGATGCAGTCTATTTAAAATCCTCCCTTTTACGGATTATGTCGTTTATTAATTTTTCCACTAAGAGAACGAACGAGGAAGGATAAAAGATATTAGCGAAGGAATCCGATTAGAGAGAGGAATAAAGTAAGAGTTTGGAATTTCCTTCATATCTCACGTATGGAAGAGAAGAATTGGAAATAGTATAATACTAAGCAACGCTCATTTTCAGAATAAAACCTAATCGATCCTAGTAGAATTATTTCAAATACCAATATGCAGATTCGTTATTCATTGAAAAAAAAATACGAAAACATTTTTAATTTAAAAATTAAACGTTTCTTGAGGAAATAATTAATCACGTTCACTCAAATTATTTTTAATTAGTTCAAATTCGTATCCGTATTTGCAACATATAAGATTACATTAAACTGTAAATTTCATTATACTTATTACTCAGGAAGCAATGAATACTTATATAGCATAAGATAAAATTAGTTTAAAAAAATAATTTCTATTTTATTTATCTTGTTTTTATTGTAATTTAAATGAAGTTTCGGGATATATTTTCCAATAATTATAACCATTTTAAAATAAATATATTATTAATTAATTTATGATCGAAAGAAAATAATATTAATATTTTTTTCTTTCACTTACTTTAAGGACAACTATCCATTTTCAGAAATTGAAGAAAAAACCAATTTTAGTTTTTTAGGCTCAACCCAAACTTTTTTTGATAATTTTATTTAAGTATGTTCAAGTTGAATTATGAAATTTGACTCATATGCTTAAGTTATTCATGAAAATGATTGGGATCGTGAAAAATTTCTGATCCGAGTTTTCAATGGTAATACAAATCAGATGAGTGAGTAAATATATCGTAATTAATTGGATTTATATGGAAAATATTGGAATTTTTACTTTCATTTACCCATAACTAGAAATACCTATTTTTATTCAGAGTAAGGTGATAAGTGAAGGTTCTGTGATGCAAGTAGCAGATTTTTTAATGTCGCTACTCACTGGCTGCTAATGTCACACACAACGAAGCTGCTCTAAGAGGACTTGGAACAAACTGAATTCATTTGGACATATACGATCGTAATGAATTTCAATTGAATCCCATTGATGAGATCGAACTTTATGTCCTACAATTCCTCGGCCAACGACTCAACACCTACACACCTATAATTCTTTCATTTGTTCGCCCCATAATACTGTTTTTTTATTTTTTGTATTAGCCTTATAGTTTCGAATAGTACAGCAATATTACACATGATTTATTTTATCTGGACTAATTATCTTATCTTAAGTACAATACTTCACTTTCATAAACCTTGAAGCTTTTCGAAAATGATCGATCCTTAAATAACATACTTGAGAAATATATATATATATTTCTAACTCTCAGCTCAAACATATGTTTTATGTGTTATTGTTTAAATAGGCTGTAGTTTGTTATAAGTTGTAAAACTATTTTTTTTAAAAATGGATTATTAATCCATTGTTTTTAGCATTGGATTAACTCCTTCTTATTTCCAAGATTAGCGATTGATAAACAATCCTTTTCTTAAAAATAGTTTTACAACTAGTAACAATATATAAACTATTGTTACATATCTTATGTTACATATAAGCCATTATCTTCATTAAATTTACAGTGAATTATATTTACCAAGCTAGTGGATTAAACGAAGTCCAAATCGAACTTTGGTAAACAGAATGCGCTGTAAATTTAATAAAGCTATCAACAATACACTTATAACATAATACTACATTGCATAGGACGACAAAACTCTATCTATTACATTTTCTATTCTGGACTTCATCAGAAGCCAGAACATTGCCACTGAAACCAGAATATGATTTAGAACGGGGTAGAGAAGAAGCCTTCAAAAACTCATAAAAACGTTTTGAAAGTAATAGGATGATATAAGAAACTACGAGTTCTAAGAAGGTGATTCAGTTTAAGTAGTGAATTGTAAGAAATTAAATAAGAACAAGCTTGACGATACTAGAAGTTGGCTATTTGTAATAAACAAAGGAGTTTCGAAACCAATAGATGAAACGAGTTGAAAGAATAATCGTAAAGAGGCCAATCAATCTCTGCCATAGCATTTAACTTTTACCTTTTTAAAAATAAAAAAAGAAACCATCGACCAAGAAAGGAGTAAGCTAGTCGCTTAAACATGCTATTGCTTTAACAGGGTATGTTGTTATAACTTGTAAAATTGTATTCTAACACTGGGTTTGTTTTTTAGCATTGGATTAACTCAAACTATTTTCCAAGTTTAGATATATATTCAATATATCGCTGCTGTTAGTACAAAAGGTCGTATGTAACATTTTTACATGTTAATTCTATTTGTGCTAAAGGTGACATTTTGTAGTCTGCAACAACAGTAAGTAGTCTGCTACTATGAAAAATGGTAGAGGAAAGTAAAATATGAAATTATACCAACAACTATAAAGAAATAATCAGTTTTTAGTAACTGTTAAAAAAAAAATTCATTTTTTACCTACGATCTTTTGCACTAACAGCAGCGATATACTGAAATCGTGAAATACAATATATTTATTAAGTTATATCGTTAATAATGAAACACCTGGACATTAATTTAATAAAATTAATAATTCATAAAGTCATCAAAATAATATAACGATCTAAATAATGAATACTTACAAGAAATGTAGTTTAACTATCATAAAAAATCAGATAAGGTTTGTCGGAACATTTTGAGTAATTAATAACAGTACGTTATATAATTTAAAACAAACCATACACATAAAAACAGCTTATTAAGTACCAGTGTAATTAAAATGAATTATAATTATTTGCGAAAAAATAATATACCCTAAAAGAAAATATAATTATTATAAGGGGAAATCTATGGAAAAGTTAGACGTAGATGAGAGAATCGTAATTGAACACTCAATATTTTATTAGTCTTAGAATACAATTGTTATTGTTCAGCTATTAGGTAGTATAATTTAATTTACAACCATTTTATAGATCTATTGAAGAAACAGTAATTATTATTATTTTTATCACAATTATTGCGATATTGCTCCTACGTTAAAATAAAATTAAGATTACTAGCGGTCCCGTTATAGTAGGAGTTGGATTGATTAACTTATCCGGATCACTAAGCATTGCAAAATATGATTATGTCTAAAATCTCAAAAGCAAAAAAAAAAAAATAATAAAAAATAACAGTGAGCAAAATTCAAATTAGTCGCAGTGTTTGTTGTAAAAATATCAATAAACAATCATCATTACATACTTCTTATTAAACCTTTAAATGGTGGTAAATTAAATTATGCAAACTCCTAGCTTAATAATAACATTTATAATTATAACATTAAGAAAATATTGAGGTTCAATTCCGATTTCAACGAATAACATTATCAATACATCTCCTAAATCAACAAGATCAAACCATTCCTGCCTATTAAAATTTCTATCATACAATTGTTCATACTTTTACTAATTTACTCAAATTACGCTGAATTGTGGTGATGGGAGCAAGTACGAAGGTTAATATTGATAAAAACCAGAAGCAATTATATCTTCAAATTATCAAAGTAATTTTAGCAGCTAATCTACTGCCAGTCAATCAGTTCTGCTTTTAAATTTTTTATTTCCAGCTAAATGATCACGTCAGCACATCTCTTATTAGTTAATTTTGTAAATGACAAGTGAGGATGTGGAAATAAAATTAAAAAAAAAAAAAAGAAGTTATTTTCTTGAGCACGAAGTTGAGTGTATAGCACTGATTATAATCTTAATGCTACTTAGTGTACTACTCAATACTAGGAATTATTTTGGGGGGAGGGGAAAGGGAGGATTCAGCCTGAAAGCTTTTTTTTCTCTCTTTCTCTCTCTCTATATATAACGGTAGTAGTTAATACTTTGGAAGAAAAAGAAAGATTACTAACTATCTCTAAGA